TTTCGTTCTAATGGAGAATGTAACAATGATTGATCATCGATATTTCTGCTGATTTTGTGGTGAACTAAAGAGATTGTATAAAATATTTATTGCTATTGTCGCTAGTATTATTATCAGTTGTTCGATCTTATATTCTGTTGTTTGTGTGCTCTAAGAAAATATAAGTGTCATAAAGTAGTGTGTGGCTCAGGATATGTGGTCGAAAGCGCGATTGTTTCATTGCCTTATGGTGCGTTGCAAATAACGGACGCACTGTACGCGAAACTCGCCGGAACTAACAAAGGAGTATGCACGTACAAATCACCAGTTGAAAGACTTATCCTCAGATACATCATGGAACAGGTACGTATGAACTCATCAAATAAGTATTATTTCATTGCATTGTAGTTCTGTCGATTCATACAGTAAATGATTAAGTAATTTCGCATGAAATATATTCACTTAGCAACTCAAATTATACACTGCCAAACGTCAACCTAGAATTTAAAATGATCCAATTCGAACAAACAGGCTTGTTATGTGTCTACGTCGTTCAATGAAGATGTGCAAAAGTACAAGAACCACAAACATGTTGATATGGTTGTCGCGTTGGATGAGTTCGAACCAACTGCTGAAATGACAACTACTTGCATGGTTCCTTCTTTTCTTTTGCTAATTTCAAGTATGGCAATTTTCTCTTCGAACTTTCTAGTCAACTGGCAATTCCCTTTTCACGAAGATCCGAAGATTATGTACTGAAATTTAGAACATTGCTATTGTAGGTTGATTCGGCACGCTTCACAGCTCCTGAAGGTTTATTCCAACCGAAACGATGGGGTCTCGATATTAAAGCACTTCATCAGCTGGTCTTCGAAGCCGTGCAGTTGGCACCAATTGATAGCAGAAAAACGTTGCTCAGGTTTCGATATCTTCAGTTAGAAACTGTGACTAGAAACCTTTTCTTGTCATAACTTGATCTATGAAATGATCAATAATTTGACATAACATTATTTGATTGAATTCGTTTTTTAATCGTAAAATTACAGAAACATTTATCTGGCTGGTGGTGCTTCATTACTTCCTGGCCTAGCGGAACGTCTTGAGGTCGAATTGAGCACACTTGCAGCACCCACCATTCACGTACAGGTAAGTCTGAACTTAATTGAAATGGATTCGANGTCGTTTTTCCTCGATATCAGCAAACCAGTGATTTTCAAACATTCAGGTACATGTTTCACCATGGCGTTATAACGCCGCTTATTTGGGTGCACAAGTAATTGCTTCAAGTACACAGTTCGAATCAACTTGCGTGACTTTGGAGAATCTTGATGAATTTATTGAACAACTAAACAGTGCAGCTTTTTGAAACTAAATCTGCTGTTGATTATTTACAAAAGTTTGTTGATCACGATGCCTTTTGTGCTCGTTTAATTCATTGATATATTCATTGTTTCGGATAGACACCAATTGAAATTCATTATTGACCTTATTGACCATCACTTCAAAATGTTGTATATTTAATTAATGAAGTATTTGTTGTGTGTGTTTAATGAGACTGTAATCATCACGAAACGTTGTGATAAATAATGACCATATTAATTGGAAAACATCTGTCGATATTTATTCGTTATTCATTTAGGTTGTTGTTTCAATTTGGATTGTTCATTTCATTGCGACTGTTAGCTTCGTTTCATTTCAGTGATGTCCTTACTTACACTTATTTGCCTATAACGCTGCCAAACCATTTTGTTCTTTTGCTCGAGACACATTTTTTTCTTTCGTCTCCTCCTCAACCTATTCTGCGATGTTGTTGTTTTATTTTTGTTTTCGCATCATGTGAATATTCTTGCTGCAATTTGATATTTAACGGGATCACGATAAGATTTTTT